TTTTATGTTTTAAATGATTGAATATTTTCACAAACAATATAACAACCAATATGATAACTATTGTTAATATCAACAAAGCAACGATAACACATATTAATATAACCCACCAAACTATTTGTGTATAACAAGATAAACCATTCTCACTTGGATTGTGCCAGAATGAACATTGAGAACATTTTGAATTGACTACTTCAATGCAATTTATCACAACATTCATTGAAACACATTGTGAAGTTGATGACAAAATATAATTCTTTTTACATGAAGTACAAATAGAATTTGGATTGCATTTTTCACAATTTGAGTTTTTGAAAGAACACAAAACACAAATTTGGTCGAGTACGAAATACCCATCAGCACATTGCAAACATCCACTTTGTGTTTTTTGTAAACAATTTGAAAGTAAATCAAATGACAAACATGCGCTTGAGTTTGTTGTTAAAAAGTGGTCTTTTTCACAAGAAATGCATCTGTCTTTTGTGTTACAATTTTCACAACCTTGTAAACAATTATCACAATTTCCATTAACATTTCTAAAATACTTGTTTTCGCACAATGCACACATTGAACTACTTTGAATGAGCCTTTTGCAATTACTATTTACAGTAGAATAAGACAAACACATTCCGTTATTAAGAAAATAACCAGTCTCACAGAGAATACAGTTTTCATTGTCATAACAGTTTTTACAATTTTCAGGACATTTAATACAAATATTATTGTGTTCAAAATATCCCATTTGACAACTTACACAACGGTCATTATCAAAATTCATAAGAATACAATTATCAATTGAATAATTTTGTTGAACACAAGTTTGTTGTTCGTAAATGTAAAACGTGTTATCTTGACATAAATTACACTTACCATTTAATGTAGTTACTTTACAATTATTTGTATTATTCTCACATATTTCATTTTCCGAAATTGAAAGAAAAACGTCATTACAACCAGTACAATACGTCCCTTTATTGTTTGTGCAATTGGTTTCATCGATTTGAAGACACTTTCCATCTGAAACAATGATATCTCCTTCACAGAAAATACAATTATCTTTTGTACAAAATTTACACAAATTTCCATGAAAATCAGAACATAAATTGCACTTATTATTATCAAGAAAGTACGATGGAAGACAAACAATTGCTTTTTTCATATTTGTCAAAAGAATTCCAATCGGCATTACACACTCCCCATTAACATCAAAAACACGATTTGGCTCACAAATAATACATATATTATTTCGACAAAAAATACAACCTTCTTTACATGGCAAACAAGTTTGATTTTCGTTTGAATAATGTTTAGAACATTTCCAAATTCTGCTTTTATAATAGGCAACCTCTTTAGCAACTTCAACACAAATACCATTTTTTAATTCATACATTTCTTGACATAAAATGCATTGGTCATCAATACATCTAAGACAATAAGTTGAACATAAAATACATTTTTCTTTAAATGCTTGGTAAGACAATTTACATGTTTCGCAATATCTTGTTGGAATATTACCATCAGCAATACAATTGACGTCAAAAGGAAGACATGATTTGTTTTGTAAAATACTAAACGATTTACATAAAATACATTCTTTAATTCCAGTTTCTAAAATAAAAAATGAATTGCACAATGATGATAAATTCGATTTTATATAAATCTTATTGAGCTGAACATCATACTTTTGTAATTCAAACCCCATTTTGTTTCCCAACAAAAGTTTGTTTTTATTTCCTTTAATCCTAAAGGTATTACTATATGACGAGGTATCATCAATATACAAAATGTTATCGATGGGATCATCAAAGTTTGATTCACCTTCAATAAAAGAAGTCATCTGAACAATTTCTTTTTGTTGAACAAACGTTCCATTGCATTGATAATTATAAATAAACATTTCGGTTTGAATCAGTTGGGTTACCGAATTATCATTTAAAGGGCAATGAAGAACGTTTTTGTGGCTCGAAAATAATGAAAAATCACTTTGATCCAATTCGCATATTATTTCTTTTGAAAGTGGATTGTGCCCAAAACATATTCTATACAATTTTGATCCATAACTTATCCCTTTGGGATTTTCGAATAATGTCAAATCAATTTCAACAATCGACGACAACACTTCGTTGCAGAAAAACATTGTTGAAATCGGTTGGTCAACACTCAATGTTATTTTACTGTTTAAAGGCCTTACATTTCCACCCTTTAACACCAAGATGTTCCATTGGGTTAATCGACTAAAGACATTTCGATAAATGATTTTTCCAATTATTAAAACACCATGATTTTCAACTATATATCTGGTATTTAAATAAACATTCAATATTTCACATTTTATTGTTGTTTCAATTGTAATTGTTAAATTGACACTACAAAAAGAAAACTCGACTTGTGTTGATATATAATTTGGATTAGCTGTAATACTTCCACCATTTGAATATATCAAACTTTCCCATATATCTCTTTCAAATCGTGGTATATAAGTATAATTGTTGATGTTAAGTTTGAGTTGAATTGAATTGGTGTCGTCAAGACAATTATTAGCATTTTGGTTCAAAAAGGTAAATTCAGTTGACGAACTCGTTGTTCGATAATCACAAACACACATATCAATATCACAATCTTTGGTAAATACTCTTTCACCACAACTTTCCAATTGTTCGGATATCAGCAGACCGTTGTGAACAACAAACAATATTTTGTTTTTAAACTCTGGTTTCAAATTGACTTGCTTTATTTCAACATTTGAGTCAAACCATCCTCCCACATTTAATCTTGAAATTGTCAAATTGTTTATTTTGGTATTTAAAAAAATACTAAAAGAACTTTTCATATCAAATTTTTCTAATTCTAAAACGTGATTATTTGAACCTGTTATCCACATCATCGGATTATTAGAATAAATTGTGTACCATTTATATATATCCAAATTCCATGACATATAGTTCGAAAGATTCAAATTAAACATCGAAGAATTGTAAACACAATCAGGATAGTTAAAAACAGTACTTTTTAAAATTTTTTGTGAATAATCTAAAGGAATACAATCACAATTTTCTTTTGAAAATGCAGTTTTAGAAAATGCGTATCTGCCATAATGATTTTGATAACACAAAACAACAATTTGTAATCCACTTCCATCTATAATAGTAGTAGAATTAACTGTACCTGTAAAGGCGTATAAATATTCATTCATATTTCGAATCAAAGCTGGC